CGCTATGTCCTGCTCTCCCGACACCACCCACCTACCCACCGGATGTTGCTGATGATGCTAAGAGTGTTTTCCTTGAGGTGCTTTTTTTGCGAATTACACAAGTATAGATGTAGACGCTCAACACGCACACTCACCCCACGTACGCAAACCCTACTCTGAGCACCTCCGAAGGACTATGCCGGCACATCTTGAGATTGACGAAGTCACCATAGGCGCCTCGCTGTCGACGGAACGTTGTCTACCACTGAAAGCATAACGCCGTTAAATCCTAGAAAATGCGAGTACCCATGCCAAGTCGAGGACTTGAACTCGGGTGGGCAAGTTCCACTACAAGGAACGTAACCAACTGATCTAGGCTTAGTTCGCTTCCTTGAGGCGTTTGAGGCCGAGATGGAAGGATACCAGTGTCTATGAAACTTGGCTGCAAGAGGAGGCCTGTGCCAAGGCTATCCTACTTACGAGCATTGAGATCGACCTCTCCATGTCTCTTAGGGGCCTCACTACTTGCCACCTGATGTGGGCTCACCTCCATTGTAGTTAGAGATTCGTAAAGAGGCGATGTACCTTGCTGTCGTTGAGGAGGCTCAGGCGCTTCGCCGACTAGACTCTACCATTGAGGACTTCCATTATCACATGTCAGGTGTTTGGCATCGCCTAGATAGCTTGGGTGCTGAGTTCAATGTTGCTGGTACTTGCCGGTGCTGTGAGCGCCACTAGAGCCAGAGAGAGACTCTTCGTCTTCATGAGTTCCTTTCTTGGCTTTATACTGAGTTCAAGACTGTACGAGCGCAGTTGTTGACTCGCCATCCATGCCCATCGCTTACCGAAGGGTGCCTGAGCTACGAGCCAAGATGCACCTTCGTATTGCTAGTATAACAATGTTCAATATAGCAGCCATCTATGCTAGTTGCCACGCCCTCCCAGGTGCCTTCGCCACCACCTCCCTCACCGCCTCAGCCCTTGCTTATGGCGACGAAGACTTCTTCAGGTGTTCTTTGTGGCTATTATAAACGACTTGGCCATGATGAGCGGGCTTGCCAAAAGAAGCATGACCGGAAGGACCAAGGCCAATGCTCTTCTCCATGCTAGAGTGCCTCTTCTACTTCACAGGCCCCTCGTTCAGTATCTGCTGCCAAGCAAGAGATCCATGCCCTGTGTTTGCCATCTTACTGCCACAGCGCAGACCTCAGCACACGGGACCATTGCACAGGCTTCTGGTTCTACTCTTACTCCTCATCTAGGTAAATCATCCAAGTGGTTCCTTGATTCTGGTGCCTTTTTCATATGATGACTCCTGATTCGACTCATTTATCTTCGATGTCACCTCCCAATTCACCTTTTGTTGCTCAACCGCTAATGGCACATCTCTTCATGTTGCTGGACGTGGCATTCTTTCTACTTCAGCTTTTCATGTTCCTTCCACTTTGCACATTCCTAAGCTCACCATGTAGTTGATGTCTGCTGATCATATCACTGACCATGGATGTCGTATCATTCTTGAAGCCGACTCGTGTTGTGTTCACGATCTTCATACGAACCTTCCGGTGGGGGACTGGGCCTAGGCATCATGATTCTTAGGGCATTTGGGAGCTTGACTGGTTGCGTCTCCCTTCACCCACTTTGTCCATCCAGTCGTCGTCCAGTTCTCCTACCTTCGCGTCACATACATCATCTACCACTACTTTTGCACAGTGGCATCGTCGTCTAGGTCATCTATCAGGCTCTAGACTATCCAGTTTAGTTGGTAGCGGTGTCTTAGGACATGTTTTTGGTGATAGTACTCTCCATTGTATAGGTTGCGAGCTTGGCAAACAGCTGCAATTCCACTATCCTTCCGGTGACCGGTGAGTCTGTATCCCAACACCCTTTGATCTTGTTCATTCTGATGTATAGGGTCATATTCGTTTTGTGTCCAAAGGAGGTCATTGATATTATGTATTCTTTATTGATGATTATTTGAGATTCACTTGGATTTATTTGATATCTTCTCATGGACAGTTTCTCTCTATTTACTAGCAATTTGCCACCATGATCCGTACTCATTCGATTCTCCCATTCATGTTTTTCATGCTGATTCTGCTGGTGAATACATTTCTTCTGCCCATCGTCGTTACCTTGCTGATCTGGGTACTCTTGCTCATTTTTCTTGCCCTGGTGCTCATGCTCAGAATGGGATCGTTGAGCGAAAGCATCATCACATTCTTGAGACTGCTCATGCCCTTCTGATCTCAACTGATCTTGCTCCTCATTTCTAGGCTAAGGCTGTCGCTACAGTTTTCTTCCTCATAAATCGACAACCATCTTTTGCTCTTCAGGGATGCACTCGCTACAAGCGTTTCTTTGGCACCCCACTATCCTATAACCATCTTCGCTGTTTTTGGGTGCGTCTGCTATGTACTTCTCCCACCTTGTGAGCACCAAGCTGACTGCCCAGTCAGTTGAGTGTGTCTTCCTTGGGTATAGTATATAACATAAGGGCGATAGTACATAACATAAGGGATATCGCTGTTATGACCCTGTTGCGCGTCAGATGCAGATTTCTTGGAATGTCACGTTTGATGAATATCGTTCCTATTATCCTCGTCTCCCCACTAGATCGTCCAGCATAGCTGATGAGTCCCTTTCGTTCCACACCTCCATCTACCCATCTTCCCACACTACTCTACTTCTCCCACCTCCCCCGTCATCATTCCACCTCCATCTCCTGTTACTCCACCTTTACCTCTCCCTTCCCTTTCGGTTGTTCCACCGCCACCCTCGATGTTTCCACCACCAGCTCCACCACTTGACTCTTCTCCGTTTGTCCTTGGACCCCCTCTAGGGCCTTCTCCCAGTTGTGATCGTAGTACCATTCATCCTCCCGAACGTCGTGGCTTCACTTCTACTACTCTTGTTGAGCCCGCGACTTATCAGAAGGCTGCTGCTCACTAGGAGTGGCAACATACTATGGATGAGATTGTTGTTTTGGAGCACACTGGTTCTTGGGACCTAGTTCCCTTGCCACCTGACATCACTCCGATTACTTGCAAGTGGGTCTACAAGGTCAAGACTTGCTCCAATGGCTCATTTGAGTGCTACAAGGCTCGTTTTGTGGCACGAGGTTTCCAGCAAGTGCAAGGTCGTGACGTGGCTATGGTGAGACCTTTGCTCTAGTGGCTCACATGACCACCATTTAGACTCTCTTTGTTGTTGCTTCTGTTTGCCAGTGGTCCATCTCTCAGCTGGATGTCAAGAATGCCTTTCTCCATGGCAAACTCCGGGAGGTGTACATGCAGCCACCTCCCCTCGTGGCATGGTCTGCCGGCTGCGTCATTCTCTTTATGGTCTCAAAGAGACTCCTTGAGCTTGGTTTGTGCGCTTCACCTCTGTTGTAACTAATGTTGGCTTCAAGCCCAGTAACCATGACCCTAACCCTGCTCTCTTTGTTCACACCTCTTCTTGTGGTGGCACTCTTCTTCTCTATGACGATGACATGCTCATCACAGGTGATGACCCTCAATTCATTGACTTCATGAAGAAGCGCCTCAGTGAAAAATTCCTAATGACTGATTTGAAAAATTCCTAATGTCTGATTTGGGTCCTCTTCATTACTTTCTTGGTATTGAGGTCACTTCCACATCCGATGGTATCTACCTCCCCCAAGAACTCTCTTGTGTTGCTCTCACTTATCATAGCAATGTTGATACACCTATGGAGCTCAATGTTCACTTGTGTCCCACTGATGGTGGGTCTCTTGACGATCCCACTTGCTATCGTCACCTCATTGGGAGTCCTGTCTATCTTAGGATCACCCGTCTAGAAATCTCCCATTCTGTCCATATCTTGAGTTAGTTTGTCCCAGCTCCGACTCAGGTCCATTATGCTCACCTTCTTCATGTTCTACGATATCGTCGTGGCAACACCTCTCATCGCTTGTTCTTTCCTCGCACTAGCTCCCCTCGGCTTCAAGCATACTCTGATGCCACTTGGGGTAGTGATCATTCCAATCATCATTCTTTGTCAGCCTATTGTGTTTTCCTTGGCTCTTCCTTAATTGCCTAGAAAACCAAAAAGCATATTCTTGTTTCTTGTTCAAGTGCTAAGGCTGAGTTGCGTGCTATGGTAGCTGTCAATGCTGAGGTGACGTGGCTATAGTGGTTACTTGAGGATTTTGGTGTGTCGGCTACTAGACCAACTCCTCTTTCCTTTGACAGCACCGGTGCGATCAGTATTGCTTGGGATCCTATGAAGCATGAGCCCACCAAGCATATTGGAGTCGATGCTTCTTACATGAGATCGATATCGATAAGGTCGTGTCTCTCCATCATGTGCCTTCAGAGATTCAGCTCGCAGATTTCTTCACAAAGGCACAGACTCGGGCACACCATAGTTATTTGCTCTCCAAACTCAATGTAGTTGACACACCATGAGTTTGAAGGGGGGGTGTTTGATGTATATATGTGTTGTGTATTTTCCCACTATTGTAAGGGGTTTTCTGCATATTGTGTGCAGACCTTATCTTCCCCTTTGGGGACTGGAATACAAGCCGACTTGTTATCTTTCTAACAAAGTGTAGAGAGTGATCCCACTAGTCTACCAAGGAGATGAAGTTTGCATGTTGTGCCACATCAAGAACGACAATGCTAAAGTGTAGGTTATGCTCTGCTGATCTTGTGTAGTTCTCCTAAAAGATTAGTTCATTTACCTATGTTCATCAGCACATGACCATGTTAATAGAAGTTATGGGTAAGAGTGATATGGTCAAGTTGGCAAATATCCCCAAATAGTTAAGTCTTAGCATCATGTTTAAAACCAGTGTGATAATATTCAAATATAATTAAAGAATTCTTTTAGAAAAAAATATTTCTAAAACTAGTGATATTAAATTATAACTTGCACTTTAGAAAATAAAAGTATCTCACGGTATAATATGAAAATGTTGAGGAACCAAAATCCAAAAGATTTAGATTTCATAGACAACATAGATGAAGAATGTCCACATTGAAAAAAGGATCATGTACCTTCTTAAGATCAACCCACTCCCAGGTCTCATTTGATGTATTCATGTCATGAACCAGCGCGTAAAGGCCCTGCAAGGAAATTCCTAAGAAAGAGACCACTTTAATTAAAAGTAAATGCAACTATGGTGAGACAGAAACACACCGTTTCTTGATTGTAATCAGATATAACTACTTCATAGAAATTATTATCATCAGGCCAACGATTCATGGCTTTACGGCCAATTAATGGGTTGACATTCTGTGCTTGAGAAAGTTCAGCAGCAGGACAACCAGGAAAATATCTATTCAAATGTGGTCTTCTTGCACTAAGACCTTCTGAAGATGGCATGGACTTCACTGCAGAGCCCCCAGGTACCTTCTGGCCCTAGAAGCACATAAGATTCTGTAAAAGAATCAAACAGAAAGATTTCTTTTGGAAACAAGTTGTCTAAATAAATCAGCATACCGTTTTTAGCCTTTTGCCTTTAGGTCCTGGTGGAACTTCCTTCGTAGCTGTTGAAGATGATGGGTGTGTTGGTGCAGCCACCTGCTGTGAATGCATCAGAGGAGATGGTGCAGGTGAAGCAGTGAGGGGTTGAGATGTCTTTTGCCTCTTGTGGGTAGAGGTAGTATGAATGGACAAAGGATCATATCCTGGCATAGGATTATTGGGCGCCCTTGCATCAAATCTTCCTTTTGATCTCCATTCGCTTAATTTCAAGGCAGAAATTCAGAATGCTGGAAAGAAGACAAATCTGTGGATAGGCATCGATGAAGTAAAGGGGATATTATTATACTACCTTATGCTGCGAATAAAATCATCATTGTAGATCTTGTTTAATAGCTGCCTATGTTCTTCGTCAGATACACGTAGCTTCTCCCCAAGTTCTGTTATGAGACCTTCTTTCTCCTAAAAAAATTGTAAAGTCAACCTCAGGTCAATTTTGAGGGGGGAGAAATCTAACATAATCACCAAAACTAAATGTGTTGAAATAGTTTAATGGCCCCAACCCATGTAATGGTATCAGACTGTGCTTTAAATGCACGAAGAACCGAACAATATGCTTCTAGCTCAAGCTGATGAATTTGTGCTTCCATAGCTGTCTGTGCCGTATCATATGAACTAGTAGGAGTAATTGCTCTTCCATTACCACTGACATGCTCAGTGCCCCTCATATCTGTACTGTTCAAGTTTGGTGGTGGAAGATCATCATCAATTCCTGCAACCAGCACAAAATGAGAAACCTCAACAATTTACTGACTATATCTGCTCTAGAAAAGAATTATCAATGCTACTAGTAGAGCAGATGAAATAGTTCAGTGATCTATTTTATGGGATAATAAATAAACAGAAACACCAACAAACATTTCAATGAATGAAAGAAGGTATAGTTATTTAGTTCATAATGAGCATATTTTATCAATTACCTAAAGTAATCTTCATTATTAATCAAAACGCGGCAATAAAAATGTCTGTGACCATGTCTAAGAACATTTTTCATTAAGAGGAAGAGAAAGTTATAACAAACAATACTAGTAAGCCTAGGGTTACCAAGACCAACACGTCCTTGCAAGACTAGTCTCACAAGGATCACTAACGAAGTTCACAATTGGGTACTTATGTGAAAGCAATCGGTGACCAAACGCTGCTGAGCACTAAGAGAAGAAACTAGTAAAGCAACACAACTCTCAACTAAAAGCTCCACTCCTAACTCCTAAGAAGCAAAGACTACCATGTAGCCCACCAATTGAAGCGAGCTCAAGGAACGCAGTAATCACATCTTCATGACCATGGTGTTTCACGACTGCTCAGTGACACCGACAGTCGACGGCACGAACTCATCTAGAAGCAAAATTTCTTGTACAGCTTATAATCCTTTTTCTCCAACAGAAGCCCACATAAAACACATAAAAGTGTTGCACCCCAACATTGTTTTCATATACCCCTCTGATGGGTACAAGCCCTAGCATCCCAAGAAATTCATACTAACACATAAAACACCAACCGCTTTCTCTCAAACATCCACCAATATTAATTGTACACAGAATTATCTTATCCATCAGATCAACTTTGTCAAACGACTCAGGATGATTCACTGTTCTGTCTTCCTCCAATAATCAATTGCCATAGTACCAGTATTGACTATTCTGCTCCCCATTCATCATAAATTACCCAACTAAACAAGCATATACTGTGCGCAGTCACTAGTGACATTAAAGAGAACTGAAATGGAACAAGTCTGCAACTTCATCCAAACCCTATAAGGTGATATATGGTTCTTTCCAATATCATATGTAATATCTTACACCAAATCAGTAATCCTTGTCATAGTTATCAGGAAAACCAAATGTAAATAGTAATACAATTTCAACATAACTAAAGAAGTTGAGTAAATGAGACACACTGCGATCGACTAAAGTAATGGAGAAAGCTGTAAGAAAATCTGAATACGAGTCAAAAACGGAAACAGGGTACATTCTTATACCAAATTCCTGACCTATTAAAGGAGGCCTAAGAAAATCTTGAAAGTTTATTCAGTTTTTAATGTTAGGCACAGCTCATACTGCACATAGGCCAACTCCACAATGTTAAAAAAAAAGAAAGAATCTAAAATCCTCAAAAAAAAAAACTCAATAGTTAAAACCTGTGCACCTAGCAAATAATTTCAAAGACCAAACGAGACTTGGACAAGATTGAAGGCAAAATCTTGAAAAAGAAAAGGTAATCATTCTTGTGATCTTATAATATTTGTACCAACACCAAAATCTATTTACTATTTCTTGCCAAGAAATCATAAAGCTGTGCACACTGTATAAGCCAAGAATGAAAGATAAAGCTTAGCAGCAACAAACCAAGAGAATTTCCAACAATGTAGAACAAGCAGCAAGATCACAACCTGCCAATAGTTACATATCAAGGTTCTACCTATGCAATAAACAGTGCTAACCACTGGACAAATATGCAGTAGTATGAATGCGTGAACTGGTACCATTAATTGGTCTCCCGCTAAAAGCAGAACTAGCTCGGCAAATATTTCTGACCTGGGACATTGGCAAATGTAGTGGTGTCTGAAGCATCTTATGTCATGTAGAAACAAACTCATGGATTTCACATATAGGTGCACAGTCAATGTTTGAAGTACCGGTCAGAAAGTTGTTATTTTTCACCTTCCACATTTGGCACAACCCAGAAGCTCATGATTTAAAGCAATCAGTAAGGTCACAAGAACGTGCCATCGTTATAAAATGAAGGTGCTACGGCTACCTACACAACAAACCAGCTTACCCCTGTACAAGTATGTAGTACCATCAACTTGTGGACTTGCAACACTTGCCGATTCCCCACCATAAGTGGAACCAGGCAAATTTGCTGGGCAAACATTTCTGCTCTGGGACATCAGCATCTCCATCTCCAATGACGTCTGAACCATCTTGTGTACTGTGGAAAGATGAAATACGCCCATTTTTTATTTCACATGTTAGTGTGCAGTTAATAGTTAAAGTAATATCATAGTTTTCCAAAAGATCACAGAAGAGAAGAGTCCACCAGTAATTATTAAAATGAAGGTGCTACCTATCCAACTCATGCTTACCGTCAGATGGCTGCGCAATACCATGAACTTGTGAATTTGTAACCTTTTGCAGTTCCCCACCATAAGTGCAATCAGGCAAATTTGGTGGGTGGATTTTTCTGCTTCGGGACATCAGCAGCTCCAGTGACATCTGCATCATCTTGTATACTGTGGAAACACAATAATGGATGCCACATGTAAGCGGGATAAACACTTAAGGGCACCGATCAGAATGATATTATTTTCCACCTTCTGGGTTTGCATCAAGCCAGGAATGGGCACCTCTCGAATCGACTATGTTCTTTGCAGTACGAGCATTGTATCTGCAATTCAGTTCAGATGGCCCTGCACTCCCTTGCATTTCCAAACGCTTTATGTGAGGCCTGTGTTGGTTCCCCATTACATTAGCTGCAAACTGTGCTTCAGAATCTGCAGTGTGCATTCGGCAGCCATCATCACCACGTTTGTAACTTCCAACTGGAGTAAAAAAAACAGAGAGGCGTGCAGAGCAGAAGTTGTTTTGGCAACTATATACATGACACCTGCATTAAGGATATTGATCGAGGTTCATCAGCATCAAGGCACATTTACCTTGTAGACGCGGTGAGTAACTGTAGTTCACATGCTGATGCTGGCCACTTCGATTGGTAATATCTGACAGAGCAGCCCTATCGTACGGCCTTCCAAATGCTGACATTTGCAAATGCTTGTGACTTGTGAGACAAAAATCACTTGATCCTACAAGTGACCAAAGGACAGAGTTATGTACTTATGTGAAGCAAAATTCACTTGTTCCTGCAAGCGTCCAAGGGCAAATTTATGTTTCACTGTTTCGGCACAAACTTGCTTGAGTGTTATACCCCGGCTACATCTGGAACACGACCAAAACAACCGAGAAACTGGAAGGATAAATTTCAGGCCACTAGTAAATTGCCGTCATCAGAAGGCGAGAAGTTATTGTTGGTGTTGTTCACAATAGTCCTAAGTTGTTATCTAATGTATTAGTCCCGCAACTATTTGAATGGATCATAATGGAAGCGTAATAAAAAAGAATATAACTAGTGGGAATACATTAGTCTACTGATTTACTCACGTAACCGCAGAACTGGCATGAAAACTCACAAGTTCTGGAGCCCAGCAGTGGCGCGGCGACGTTAGTGGCTGAAATTCGCTGGACCGGGCGGGGATTGGCGAAATTGCCGTCGATCAGTTAGGGTTAGGGCACTGGGCACCGTCGGCGGCGTCGAGTGCGGCGCGCCTGAGATAAATGCTGACGAGCGTCGTGGTGGATGATCGGACTACGGAGAGAGGGAAATGGCGAGGCGGCCAAACTGAGGAGGAGAGACCGCCGTCGGCGAGGGAAATGCTCAGGCGCCAAGCAGAGCGCGGTGGCCTCCGAGAGCAAGAGGGAGAGAGAGAGAGAGGAGTGATCGAGGGAAGGAACTGCGCACGATGCATGTGCCCTTCAAAACCGCAGTTGGCAGCTGAGGATAAACACTGAGGGCACGCCGCGCCACGCGCTCACGCCCATTTTGATTTTTGAGATTTGAAATTCAAACTCCACTTTTCCTTTCCCTCACAATGCAGCGGTAAATATGTCCCCTTTTGACCTGCTGGCTGGAACGTTTTGGCCTTTTTTATTGCCTCTGTGTATAGCACCTTGATTCTCCAGTGCTTATACCATCGAAACGTTCCGGTGCCCTCTAGTCTGCTCCACACATTTCTCCAACTGCCTCTGAACCTAAACTCTACTCCGATGACCATCAAAAGTAAGGGTGAGGTATTCTCCTCTGTCTCTGTCTCTGTCTCTGCCTGTACACCTAGCTAAGCTCCGGTGCTTCGCCGGGGTTTCTCGGTGAGTGCAAGATGTTCCACTGCTCTATACTTTTCCTGTGGCCGGCAAAGTAAATGTGAATAGAGAGGTTTCTTGAGCTCTATTTTTTTTTAAATTACACAGTACAACGCAGACGTCCACAACATGCACGCACACTCACCCCTATGAACACACATACGCAAACCCTACCCCTATGAGCACTTTCGAAGGACTGAGCCGTCAGATCTCGAGATTCACGAAGTCACCACTGCCGCCTCGCTGTCGACGGGGACGTCTCCTACCACTTAAAGCATAGTGCTGTTAAATCCTGAAATAAATTCAGAAAAATGCGAACACCCATGCTAAGTCAAGGACTTGAACCCAGGTGAATAGATTTCACCACAAGGAACTTAACCAATTGATCTATAATCAGTTCGCCCTTAAGCTCTAATGAGTGTGGATGTTAGTTTAGGGTGCTAAGAGAGCTTACCTTCCTGGCCACACATTATATTTATAGGCCCACTTAAGAAACTAGCCATTGGAAAGGTCACCGGAGACCTCCTGTGGTAGCATGGAGTGTACCACCAGAGCTTCCCAACGATAACTTTCCATCGGCTCTCAAAACTAGTCATTAGAACTTTGATCTGCTCTCGATTAGGTGCACCATCAGAGAGCTCCGGTGCTCTATGGAGCCGGTTGCGAATCACTCTCTGATGCACCACCAGAGAGCTCTGGTGAGCTCTTTTGAATTCCACGCTCCTAATTGTCACTATACTTAATCTCCGGTGCTCACAACTCTGGTGGCACCAGAAGATAAGGTGCTCACACTGAAAACGTGGGTTAAGAAACGCTCTGGCGATGTAAAAACGCTCCACTGAGCTTTTCTCTTAAACCTTTTTTCAAGCAGCTAACTTCAATAGGTCTTCCATGGGACTACCATCAACTTTAGCACTGAGTTAGCATTTTCAAAATATTTTTCAAAGGCTTTCACTTGCACCTGGCCATGCCACTCAATCTAATACAAATATATTGTTAGATCTCACCTAGTGACACTAGATAATTGCATTAACCAAAGATTTTACTCTATTTATAGTACGACTATCTATCCTAAATACAGCCAGTTCACTTCTCCAATCACCTTAGGCCTACGAGAACAAACCCTATGATATACCTTTGCCTTGGGTTTTGCTTTCATCTCCATCCATCCGTCATTGATCCTTGTCATCTCCTCTTTAGGACCAGTGTTGCTAACCTTAGATGCCACCGAACTATCATTCCTCTCATATTCATCTTTGGCAACAACCTCCACAACAATGTGAGCCACCCTTTCATCCCATTTGTCCTTTATCATTACCTGCCATTGATAATCCCTTCTAATTTTCCATTCAGAGCCAGTATTAGTGTCAAAAACCCAAATTGACAATGTCTGGCTAGGCCCCCAAATAATCTTTGTAGCAACATCATCATAAAACTGAGCTAGACTATACCAAGTGCTCTTATCCAGCCACAACTCATGCTCTTGCTCAGCCATTTCTACCACATCACCATACTCAACATTAGCGGTATACTTAGCAACCTTAAAAACTACTCTAAACGCATTGCTAGGTTCAATCCTGGAACGAATATAAACATTCCACAGATAGACATACACCTAGGGCATGTAATCTGCTACCCGTATTGGAAAGAACTTGACTTACCAAGGGGGGCAACCGGTAGGATCCATGCTCACAGGTCCGGATCGAGCGTGTCCTACATCAGCCGCCTACGTATGAACAACAAACAGACAAGTTCAGGCCGAGAAAGCCTAATCCCCCCAAATCCCCATCGAACCCTAACCCTAGTTCGCTAATGCTACATGCATAATACAGGGCAATGGCTTCACTAACCTTCCTTGCGTCGGGAGCGCCTGTGGGAACTGTGGATCCGTTGCGTTGGAACGAGAACGGGGCACTGTCGTCACCAGAGGTCAGAGTCGCCGCGGAGTGGGAGGAGAACGAGGAAGAGGGAGAGAATGGGTGGAGAATGAATGGAATAAACTGAGCGAGGGGGCCAGGAAGCGGCAAGGGCAGCAACATCTTTTCCCCTGCTCGATCCATGCTGACAGGGTGATCTGGACTGCCACGACGCAAAAAGTGGTAAAAATAACGCAAAGAGAATTGTTCATGTGGCAAATGTGTAATTGCCAAACTAAGATCAACAACTAGACGAGTGCCTCTAACATCTATGCCAAAATTTTAATTTTCCCGAAAAGGAGGGTGAAAACGCCTGCTTTTGTTTCGTTGTCTTCTCACTTTTGCTCTCAGCCCTATTCTCCTCTTTGCGGCTTTAGGCTGTCTCCAATAGGAGACCCATTATGGAATTCAAACCCAAAATGGGTCTCCAATACAATACCTATAGCTTCCAACAGAGTACCATATGGAAAACCTATTTTGGGTGCCAGGAGAGGCATAACCTAAATATGAGTATCTCTCTTCTGGAGACCCATTTGCAGAAAGGGTTGTCTTTTGGGTCTTGTCGTTGGAAAAGACAAAAAATAGGTATCAAACCTTTTGCCTGCAACGCTATCAAAGGACAAATGGGTCTTATATTTTAGGTTGCGATTGTTGAAGACAGTCTTGCAAACCTACGATCGTCTAATCTTGTTCGTACCTACACATGGATCCGTGCGGCACAAGTTTTTGGGATGGTTTCCTGGCACGGGTAGGCGCTTCCCTGCAGGAGCAGGACACAGCCAGAAGGTTCCCTTCTTGGCTTCTATGTTCTCCTTTGGCGATTTGCACTTCCACGAGTTGTTGGTGTATGCTGCCTTCTAGATTCTGATCTTAAGCATCTTTCTGACTCCATTTGGCTGTGGTGCTCTTTCTTATTTCATGGAGAAGGTTTCCTCTTCATTTGGACATGGTTTTTGGATGAGAGAATTATGCATTTGGCACTGAAACAAATCAGTCTTTTGTATTTGGCACTTAAAATTTTGAACTTTCTTATCTGGCACCAAGTTAAAATTTCCTTCCCTATATGGCACTACCATCCATTTCATCCATCATCTGTTAGTTGACTATTTTGACATTGTCAGTTTTTTCTTAGTGTGACCAACTGTCGGGGACCTAATACCGGGGTAACCAAGGAGGTGGAACTAATAACCATCGAACATTAAAAACTCCCGAGCGAACAAGAGCACTACTGCGCTTCTTGCCCGAATGACGGGGGTTTGGTTCCGCCTCACCCGACGGCTGGAGGACGGCTCCGCCTCGCCTGAGGGCTAAGGACGGCTCCACCTTGCCCAAGGGCTGAGGGCTCGGCTCCGCCTCGCCCGAGGGCTAAGAGCTAGAATCCACCTCGCCCGACCCCCGAAGTATAGACTCCGCCTCGCCCGACCCCCGAGGGCTGGGCTCGACCTCGCCCAATGGATAAAAACTAGGCTCCACCTCGCCCGACGTCCGAGGGCAGACCTCGCCTCGCCCGAAGTCCAAAGGCTGGCTCTGCCTCGCCTGACAACCGCACCCCGCTCCCTCATGATGACAGGCATAGGGTAAGACAAGACGTTTGGGTCAACCACGGCATCGAGGACCATGTCCTGCGCCCCTGCAGGAAAGTATCGTCAGGGCATGACGGGACGGGCGCTTAGACCCTTCCAGGCGTGGCAGAGCCTAAATAGTGTTGCAGGCGCGTGCTCTTCTCCCTATAGAGTTGTAGGCGCCGCCTTCAGCCTTCGGGCGAAGAACCCAACACGGACATATAACAACCACTACGTTCCAAGGAGGGACTCCCATCCTCTACAGTGGCAAACGAGCAGTCACTGTGACATCCACTTCCCACGGGGTCGGAGATCGACAACCCTATCCGACACACCGCCCGTGGGGGCAGGACGGGACACGCCCACTTGT